TCCATCATATCTCCTGCTCGAAATCAACTCTTTCTCTTCACTTTCCCACGAAAGCCCCTCTCTCGCAGCCTTCGCAAGGTCCCGATCCGGAAAACCTTACCTCTTTCTTCAATGGCGGAAACTGAGAGTATCTCGACTGTCTCCACCGAGGAAGACGCGAATTATGGGTTCACGCGCTCGGAGATGTTCTCCACAAACCTCGCCGGCACTGTCGATCCTTACGACCGCCACGTTTTCCTCTGCCATAAGTCCCCAGCCGAGTGGGCCTCGCGCGTCGAAGAGGATGTCCTTCCTAAGCTCCTCTCCTCCGCCTTCAAATCTCACAAAGACAGCATGCCCTTCAAGGTTCATTGCTTCGGCTTTTGATTTCTGTTTCTTTGTTTTAGATTTAAATTTCGAGATTAATTGTTGATTGATTGTGGTTTTTTTTTTTTTTTTTGTGTGTGCCTTCCACCTTTTGATAGACTAAGCTGACTATATGCGAGGGTGGGGAATCGGATGGAGATGTTCTGATTTTTCCTGAAATGATGAAATACAAGTGAGTTTTTAAATTGTGGGTTCTTGAAATGTTGTTTTTGGTTTTATGTAGTGGAAGATATTGTTGACTTTCCTTTGATTTAAATTTTGGATGCTTTATTCATTTTTTGGAATTTTGCCTGTTGAGTATGGAATAGTTTATTTGCTGGTAAACTACTAAAAGTGGTTCTGAATTTTTGAGATAAGAGGGGAATTTTAGATGTTGAAGCTTTTTGATGGGACTGTGTTGATCTCGACTTTAGAGATTATGTATATATGTCTGGGGTAGTCTTTTATTCAGGATATTTCAACAAAGCAGTAAAATTTGTTGAGATTCACTGTAAAGATCATATATGACTAAAACACAGAGGTTATGGTATCCTGCAAGGGTTCTTTTTGTTAATGATATTAATGAGAGAATGCTAGTAAAACTTTGTAGTTTGACTTATTTGTACTGAATTTGGCCTGCTACTTTTTTGTTGAAGGGGTTTGACAGATTCTGTCGTGGATGATTTTGTTGATGATGTGCTTGTGAATGGCAAACCATGGGTGTCTGGAGTGGCAGAGTCAATGTGTGGTTCCTATGTGTTTGTGTGTGCTCATGGCAATCGAGATAAGAGATGTGGAGTTTGTGGACCAGTTCTTATTGAGAAGTTCAAAGAGGAGATTGAGTTGCGAGGATTGAATGATCAGGTGTTTGTAAGTGCTTGCTCTCACATTGGAGGCCACAAGTATGCTGGGAACTTGATTATCTACAGCCCTGATGCTGAGGGGAAAATTATGGGCCATTGGTAAAATACATGTTTTACATTCATACTGAGTTGTTGCACGCTTGAAGGAGTCTTTTTATCATTGGAATATTTGTTTTATATGCTTGCAGGTATGGCTATGTTACTCCAAATGATGTGCCTGAGTTGTTGGATCAGCACGTTGCAAAGGGAGAGATACTAGAGCGCCTTTGGAGGTTTGTGTTTCTTGCTCTTGCCTGATTTGTTTTTCAGGTTATTCTGACATTATCAAGGATTAGCAGTACATAAATTTAATGAACTTAAGCATATGCTTACTATAGTACCTGTATCTAACTTGTGATTGTCTTTATGGACCATCTGAATTAAAATGTTCAACAAAGGAATCAGAGCAAAGGTTAGTCACCAGAAATAAAGTTTATTAAGATAACAATTAGAAATTAATGTTAAACACAAGGTCAATACCATCTTTGTAGCTGTAGAGTTGCTGAATATTTTAATCTACCTTCAAAGAACTTATTTCCAGCTTTGATGATAAAGACTAATTTTAATCTACCTTCAAAGATTTTTAAATGAAGTGAGCTCCAAAGTGACTATGGTTGAATTGTGTACTTCACTTTTTTTGTTTTTTATTTCCTAGTACTTTGATCTTTTAGTTTGTTATTTTACGGTGAAAATTCCACATGTCATTATTCTTTCCTAAACCCATTTGTCCACTATGCTAAGGAACATCACCCAAGTACACTTCTACCTATGTGTTTAATATATTATTTTTATGTCAAAGTTTATAAATTGTAAGTTGTGCTAAATAATCCTATGAATTTATGCTCTGACTCTCTAATGTAAATATTGGTTGATTAAGAATGTTGGATCACTTGCCTGACATGTAGGGGCCAATTGGGGGCTTCCACTGTGGAAGGTGATAAAGCAGATGAACCGAAGCTTCCAAATGGCATAGAGGCAAAGAAGATGAAGAAGCATGAAGAAACCAAGAGTCAGGAACCGAGGGAAATTGCAGGTGGCTGTTGTCAAAGTGCTAATGGGTTTTCCTGTTGTAGAGACCCTGGTTCCGGACTGAGAGAGGAGAACAAACCAAAACAGCAAGAGCATGAAAAGAGTTCTCTACATGGATTGAAAACCTGGGTCCGCTCCTGGGAGCAAAGTGATATTCTTGCAGCTGCTGCTGTGGTTGGAGCAGTGGCAACCGTTGCCGTTGCTTACAGCTACTACAGAAAGTCGGGCTGAAATAGGCCTTTATAATTTTCAGATTACCGCTTGCTTGTGGGTTTGTATACCACTGTTTTTGTTGACAGATGGATTTGATAAAATAATCCTCCTAATGAAGTTTTCTTTTAGGAGTATGATATATGTTATCAAATTTTAGATACACTACGGATGAACTACTACCCACTGATCTCTTTTGTTGATTTCTGCAAGAATTTATTTTTGTCTAGATAGAAATTTTGGATGATTTAGAGGAAACTGGAAGTCTGGATTTATTCTTTTTATTTTCCATTTTTTATTTTTTATTTTTTATTTTTTATTTTTTTATTTTTATATTTTTGAAGTAAATTATCAAAAACATGACCAAGGAGATTTTCCATTGTTAGGTGTATATTTTTTTGAGAATAGTGTAAGTAGGTCCCTCGCCTTTTAATTAATATTTATAAAAATTAGTCATTAAATTAAAAGTTTTATAAATATATGTGATATATATTAATTTTTATATTGATTAAATATTTATAATTTTTTAATTAAAAAATATTATTTATTATTATGTATTTAGTAGGGTTAAATTTTTAGTAATCAACAAAGAAATTAGATTTATTAGAACAATTTAAAAATTAATATGTATAATTTACATAAATAAAATTTTTAATTTAATAATTAATTTTTAAAAATATTAATTAAAAAATAAATTTTTTTTAAAATCTTCTAAAATAAATTTAAGACAATCACTTATAAAACACTTTTTTTCATAATTTTTTTAACAAAGCCTGAACTTTCATTATACTTAGCGATGATGATTTACATATAGGTACAAGTGCAATATATTGGCAGGAGGACAGAGAGCCCCGTATGATGGATACTGCCCTTTCTCATCATTATCATTATTTTTTTAATATTAAAGTGAAAGTCGAACCCCACTCTTCTAATTAACATGAGAAAAACTCTACAAGGAGTTAGTTTTTTTTGTTTTTTGATTTCTCGCCTGGTTTATGGGGTTTCGTCATGATTAATTTAGACTCGACTCACGTCACGCACTTAAAAATAATAAATGAGTCTTTCAGTAGGAGCTGCTGCGTATACAAGATCTTGAATTCGAAATCTTTTTTAAATTAGAACAACGCGCTTACCACTTGCTCCAACGCTTAGTTGATCAAGGAGTTAATTGTCACTGACCCAAAAGGTCGTTCTCGGATACTGCCCTTTATTAAGTGCAAATTTGGCCACTGAAACGTTGCATCATAATAGTACTTTGGTAGTGGATATTGTACTTTGCTAGTTGGTACGTTAAAACAAGGAAAATATAAGCAAGATGCATAAATTTTAGAACCTAATCCGAACAATAAATTCGGACGTCGACATTATTCATTTATTTGTCACTTCTAGGAATTGGAGAATATGCCACTAATCCAGCATGACATAACTCGAAGAGTAGACGTGTATGTCGTGTGACCTGGATTTATTTCCCCTAGTGGTGCCTTTTGCTCAATCTAACAAGCAAACCATGCTTCATTTTGAGTATAATAGAAGGACTTGGAGTCACAGGATGATTTTCCAGAACCTTGACATGATAATTCTGGATAACGGCCACAGCAACAGTTTTTATTTGGTAGAAGGCTGTGTCTTTGCCCAAACAGGTCCTGGGTCCTGTAAGAAAGGGCATGAACTTGTAAGAAGGTATGTGCACAACGCCTCCTTGCTCCGAAATCCACCTTTCGGGTTTGAATTCCAAGCAATCTTCACCCCATATTTCTTTAGATCTCCCCATTGAGTACAGAGAGAGAAATATCTTGGTGTTTCTACCAACAGGATGACCACTTGGAAGAATGTCTGGCTGAACTGATGCTCTGTGCTCAAATGGTACTGGTGGATACAGCCTTAAGGCCTCGGAAATAGCTCCATGGAGATAAACTAGCTGGCTCATCTCTTTTACACTGTAAATCTTCCACTTACTATCTTCATTGGTATGCATATTCTTCACTTTGATCTCTTCTAAGATCTTCTCTTCCACGGATGGATGTGTAGCAACAAGCCAGAGGAACCAAACTAAAGCTGCAGCCACCGTGTCTCTCCCTGCTGCCAAGAGACTAAATGCAGTGTCTCTCCAAAATCTGTTGGATTTTTCGCCAGATTCTCCTAACATGAAAGCTGTTAGTAAGTCAAATTCTTCTTCCTTCCCTGCATTTTTTGTGCTTAACTTTTCATGCTTCAGCAAAATCTGGTCATATAAGAACTTATCAAAGGTTTCCCAAGCTCTTCTTAATTTGTTCTCTTCTCCCACTTGGAGCAATCTCTGCAGCTTCCAAAAACCAGTTGGAACAAAATGACGATACAGAGCAGCCTCCTCCATGACATCATATGCCTTCTCACATGAGACATTAGGGAATTCAATGGAAAGACAATTTGGGTCAAATCCAAGAACCAAAAGGCAAATGACATCGAACGTGAGGCGGTGGAACACATCTTGCATGTCGAGCACGGAGCAACTTTCAAGAATTGGGATCAAACCTCGTTCGAGTTTCTGAGAGAGAATTCTCTGCACCGCCAACTCGAACTTAGTGTTTTTTATCAATGAGTGGAGAGATTTCTGTTGGGTTTTCCACAAGTCTCCGTCAGAATTGAAAATACCATCTCCCAAGGCTTCAAATATCTCCCTAAACTCAGGCCCCCGTTGAAAGTTTTCAAACTTTTTGCTCAGGATGTGTTGCACGTTCCTGGAATCACTTGTCAACACAAAATTCAAGTTAGAAAACCAAGGTCCTCTGACCTGTAAAGTGCCCTTACCTCGTTCCAAAACTTCAGTGAAAAAATCATGGAGTCTGCCTATGTTGTGAAGAACCCCCGGTAGCATCCCAACCACTGGCCAAATTCTAACGGGAGAATTTCTGTTCCAACTCCAATGGACAAGAAAAATGAAGGAGAGAACAACCGCTACTAGGATCTCTTTGAACCCAACCATTGAAGCTGAATATCCCCTTTAGAATGTCTTCCAAGTCCCTGGGCGGACGCTTAAATAGATGCACAAGCACGAGGCACAGCCACAGGAAAGACAAATTCAAACGGAAGCATGCAATGCAATTTAATGCACTATATATTTTTTTGGGGTACATCAGAAGCTATTGAAGCTTACTATCTAAGGAACATGGCTCCAGTACAACCACCTTGCAGGATCGTGCTAATACCCATTGGGGGTTAATGCACTATATATTAATGAAACTAGTTGGTAGCTATTGTTAGGCCTGGAAGTTGGTTAGGGGGCAACAAACAAGCACGAGGCACAGCCATTGGAAAGACAACTTCAAACGGAAGCATGCAATGCAATTTAATGCACTATATATTAATGAAACTAGTTGGTAGCTATCGTTAGGCCTGGAACTTAGTTAGGGGGCAATAAATGAAATACAAAGATAGCAGTGTTGTTGAAACGATTCCAATCTATGTTAGCAAACCAAGGTCCTTTGAACAAACCAAAAAATTATCCTTATTCTGTTTCAATCCTTGAGTGCCATAATCGTAGATTCGATCTCTGTTGGGAAGAAGTGCTGGTAACATCCCAGCCACAGACCGGTTTCTAACAAACAGGAATATTTCTGTTCCATCTCAAGCAGAAAAGAAAAAGAATGAAGAGAAATGCTTCAAGTATATCCTTGTACCCACCTATTGAAGCTCAATTTCTGTTTAGCACTGTGGTGCGAATAGGCTTTTTAAGCAGGTACTGGTGGAAACTGGACTATTCCAATTGGTCAAATGTCTAGGCGGGTGACGTGCCGACCTTTAATGTGTAGCTTATTAGGGTTCACGTTCTAATTGCTTTTGGGGATAAATCTCCTTCTCTAAGATCTGATATCATTGTTGAAATTTGAGTACCACCAAAGCCAATTGATGAAAAATTATAATAAAAAAATTATACAAGTGGATTAAATATTAAAACAAAATAATATGAAAGAAGAATACTAATTTAATTTAGAAAACCCTCTTAAGTGAAAGAAAAACTAAAAAGACTAAGAGAAAAATTCATTATTAAAAAAGAGTTACAATATTAGAAACTTAATCTCAATCTCATCTAAAAATCTCTAATTCCTGTCAAGAACTCTCACAAAAAATTTTTCTCTCATATGCTTAGAAACTTTCAATAACCTCTAAAAAACTCTCATTAGACACTTATAACTAAAAAGTCATTCTCAACATTCTAATTGAATAAAAAAATCTCAACATCTTGATACTGAAAATAGTGGAGATACCCTCTCTTATCACCTCATAGGAGTGGGCTATAACCACACCACACTACTTTCGGTGTTTTTCTCCCTAACCTCTTTCTTTCTTTCTTAATTTTAAATTTGCTAATAACACATATTTAAATTAAATTATAAGTACTGGAGTCAAATTTTCATTTATAATATAAATTTAAGCCCTAATAGGAGTTTCCATATTTGCCACATGATCTACAAGATTCCTCCCTCTTCAATTAGCATTCAAAAATCAACTTGAATTCCCAATTAGGAAACAAAAACGAAATTAGGGATTCCGAATTTCAAGCAAAGTATCAACACCTTACCTAATGGTGGCGACACTACTGGGTCTGCTACAAGCCACACACAAACTTCCAATCAGGGTCCGCAGCCTTGACCGGGGGTCCAGAACCTTTTTGGCTACTGTTTTTATCTTCCTCCTGTGGTGTCAGCACCTTGGTCGATCAGAAGTCTCAACACCTTTGCTTCTTCAAGGCAAACTCCAATTTTAAGAAACCAAGGCATATTTCAACAATTGCTTATGAAAATGATGTAGTAATAATGTTTATAATTTTGTAATTTCATAAATTTACATCATAATATCTTATTATATATTAACTCTTTTTGTTGAGAAGTATTATTATATACAATCACTTACTTAATGATATGTTATGATTTTAATTTTACAATTATATAAAATATATTATAATTATAGTATTGTCCAATCATTTTTTTATTAACATTGTCAAATTAATTAATATTCACTTGACAAATTTTTCATAGTAATGTTTACACATGGAGCGCTTGTCCTCAGGAAACTACTTTAAATGGCAACTTTATTTAGGGTAAAATAACACCCAATAAATGAAAATACAATTGGATTTAATTAGTTATATAAACCAAAATGTCTCAAAATTTAAACTCCCATTAATTGATAAGTTGGGACTTGGGATCATACAATATATAGATT